TCCTGCACCACCATCGGTGGCTGTGCCTTTCATTCTGGAGCTTCCCGCTTCCATCCCTCCGCCTTGCGGCCTCTTTATTCATCTTTCAATTCCTACCTTAAGATGCTCCTGTTTGACCATGCCTATGGTCACTTCCCCCTCCCTCTTCTCCCTTGCTCGGAATCCAACCCCACCAATGTGCAGAGTTCCGAGACGCTATCCAACATGAAGTACGCAAAATAATGTAAGTTGTTGTTTTTCCCAATACTTGGTATAGCTTCAGGTACATATAGACCGGCAAATTAAGTCAGGTCCCACAGTGCTACCTGCTTCCATAAAACTCCATGCAGGGAGACAGTGACTGTAGAAATAAAGGCTTATTTCTATGCAAACCTATATCACAAAGTATTTTTCCTGATTACTGAAGGGACTGATTTGTGCTGGGTACTGTTGCTAGATTCTCGCCAGTACATTATTCAACTAGCCATGCTACACACAGGTAGGTGACCCTAGGTATCAAGTGTCAGCAGGCTATTCTGCTATGGTGGGGGGAGGGGGTGTAGTTAAGCCTGATCCTGTTTTCACCTGATCCCTGGACTCACATACTTTATCATGTCCTCAACTCATGTATGCATTTGCCTGCAAATTCAGTCACTTTACTACGTTTCACAGCAAAATTCTGCAAAAGTTTCAGACATTTTGAAGATGTGCTAAGGTGCTGTATCAAATGCAAGGATTATTATTATTACTTTTCAGCAGGGTTACTGCACAAGTGTAGTCCTGTAGCTCAGCTCAGTGGTTAGAACACTCGCCTCACAAGTGGGTTCAATTCCCGGCAGAATGAAACTTTGGGCGTTTCCTTACTCCACACACCTCTGTTTATCTTGCAGTAAGTTGGAACCCATTTGTCAGTCGATTGGCGTATCGCTTTGCCTGGGGTAACAATTTCTTCAAAAAAAAATTCACCCACAAATGTAATATTTTGCCCAAATATACGGTCAATTCACTTTACAATATATTCTGTGAAGCACTTTGAGACGCCTAAAAAACACGAAAAGCGCTACATCAAATGCAAGTATTATTATTATTTATTATAAATTGGGTCACTCAATCCATGACTGTTTGTGGGACATTGTTGTGTGCAATTGGCTGTCACTTTTCACCCACAAAATATACAGTCAATTCACTTTACAGTATATTCTGTGAAGCGCTTTGAGATGTCTCGAAGACATGATAAGGCACAATGTCAAATGCAAGGAGTATCATCATCAAGTGTGAGAACCTTGGCTGATTTGTCTCTTCACTCGCTCCAGTGTATTGGAAGATTATTCTAGTGTACCAGTAACTAACCCAGAAGAGACCAAGGATACAAGATTGGGACATTCCAGGTCTAACAGGGAGTTTTATCTCACAACTCACATGTCTGATTCACCTCTGTGAGCCTATCACCCCATCCTCTACTGGCTCCCCATCCCCCAGCAGATCAAATTCAAGATCCTTGTTCTCATGTTCAAATCAGTTGCACCTCACCGTACCTCTGCAACCTCCTTCAACCACACTGTGCCAGCCACTCCTTTCGCTCAGTGAACACAGCCGAGCTCCATTTCTTCTGCTCTCTTGGCAGTCAGGCCCCCACTCTCTGCAACTCCATCCCCAAAGTCCCCCTGACTCCCTCTGCTCTTTCAAGTCATATATCAAACCACCTTAAAACATCTTACCAATGTGAAAGGTGTAATATAAATGTAAATTATATTGTGTTGTAAATGCAGCTGACAAAATAAACAGCGGGGGCTGGGAGGTGCATGGGAGTATGTCTACTTTTCTCCCAGCTTGTCCCTGCTCCTGCCATTTATTTTGGTAGCAGTGATCAGAAAAGTAAACTATGGCCTTGTATATGCACAATTTTGTCAAGGGATTTTTGCATGGTTATTAAATAATTTTCAATCATGTCATTGAATGTCATCCTCACTGTGAAGGCCCCTGGAAATCCAAATTCAAGGAGTTCTGAGACGTTTTCATGATGAGCATGTATGTCTCTGTGGTCAGTCGCGCAATCTAACTCAGCACAGACCAGGTTATAGAATCATACAGAATCTTACAGCTCAGGAGGCCATTCAGCCCTTCGTGCCTGTGCCAGCTGTTTTGAAAAAGCTATCTAACTAATCCCACTCCCCTGCTCTTACCCTTAGCCCTGCAAATGTTTCCTTTTCAAGTACATATCAAATTCCCTTCTGAAAGCTACTATCGAATCTATAGAGGTATTGAACCTAAGAGCTTCCTGACCTACACGACTCAGTGGCTGGACCAAACTAACTGTTGGGGAAGCTTATGTGCAACGTAACCCTTTCATGAGCAATCATTTGTGCTCCCAAAGGTGCTGTGGATTCTGCTGCAGCTCAAAAGGAGGAGTGAGTGAATTCCCAGTAATAGCAGAGTCTGAAAAGTACAGAACCGCTTATACAGAAGCAGCTCTGTACTATTCTGTAATGTAAACCCAGAATAAAATCACCGAGGTATGTGCACAATGATAAAGTGTTGATCTTACTTCCAAATATGCAAGTCAATCAATTATATCCGTCCAAACCCAACTCCACCCCCCTGCAAAAAAAAAAGGCTTGCCTGGTCTTTAAACATCTTGCAAAGGGGAGTCAAACATACATCTGGCTAAAACAAGGTGGAGATCAATGAGAAGTTACACATGAGCAGATGAGTGTTTACTTTAGAAACACCAAATGGTTAAAATTTGCCTTTTGTGTACTTAGTAAATGTCAAATAGCTAAATTTAGCTCAACGCCTATTGGAGATATAGAAGTGATTTACATTGACAGTGGAACTAATTTGCTTACAAAGTTAATATTTATTCTGGACAGCTTCATTTCTGTATTAGGTTATAACCTTCCTCCAACATCTATCATCTTAAACGTTTCCAAAGATGTTTTATTGAATGCATTATACCAACTGAACTGAATTCATAAGATTGCTATGATTAATAAGATGGAATATTAATTTCTGGGCTATCAATTTCATAAAAAACTCAATTGTTGTCCATCACGGGGATTGATACCTTATTTTTTCAAGCTGCCATTCCTAATGAGCATGTATTAAATAAAATATTAAAATTTAACTGAAAAATTTATTTGCATCTGCCTACAGGATGTAGAACAAAAATACCTGTACCTCTCAATGGTTTTACTTGGTTTCTGTTAACAAGTCATTAACAAGCCAATGGCACCGGGTATTAAGAACTGCAAAGGACAGAGCGAAATGCCATGGGGCGTAATAAAATCTCCCAAGTGATGGCATGGGACGGAAAAGAAAACAATGGAGAGGCCACAGTCAGTCTGTGTGTATTAGGAATTACAATTGTATGGGGACACCCATATAATGTGCCGGTGTAAGCTCCTTAAAAAGATCATTGAGCTGTAGCAAGTCACTTGGGAGGGGAAAAAAGGCTCCTTCCTGTACTGAACATCCAGCCATTCATTAATGAGCACATTGCAACATTATAATCAAGGTAAGAGATATAAAATAGCATGAAAGGTAAATTCATAATTCACCAAAGCAAGCAGTAGAAGGGGCATATTCATTCAAGAATATTTGAGTAAAGAGCTTCACTATCTTCTGCAACAAGTATACAGTATTAAGAAAAATAATTCTTAATTCTATAGCCAGTTTTGCAGAAAATTAGCCTCAAAATTAAGAATAAAACTCAAAGACAGTCCAAAATGTAAATCCTCTAAAATGCTAACAGAAAAGTCAAATCCAGACTCAGGCGGAATTTCTCCCCCTCTAAAGCCAACCCCCCCACTCCCTCCCAGACTAAAAAAATACACTCAGGAACACATGCTATCCCAAAAACTTGAAACCCCTAAGTACCATCGTTTTGGCGGGTAGAGTTCTACCGGTAGCAACCCTTTGGTACCTCACAAGGTGCTGTTCCTCAAGAGTGAGTTAAGCCATGCAAATGTCTACTACCATATAATCATGAAGAACACGTCAGCTAAATCAGATCCTGTTCTACCCAAACTTCCACGCAAGCGCTTTCCAGTAGACTCCGCCAGATAATGATCAGGATTTTCTTCCCTTGCCAAAAGGCACAGAAGGACATTGCAGCGCCACTATTCTTCCCCTGGCAGACAGCAACGAACCCAGCAAACTGGGATGGGACCAAGTGACCGTCTGCTGTGTGTGGCTTAATTCTACACCAGACAAAATAATACTCTCAAAATGATTATTTGCACGTTCAAAAAATGAACTTTTACATCTGTTGGGACGACACTCTGTGTTAGCTTAGATTAATCGAAAGCCAGGAAGGAATCAGTATCCTGAGTTACATAGCAATTTCAGTCAGCAACCTGGCACTCAGTTCATCTGACTCCATGCAAGATTTCTTCACTGAATCTCTAAATCCAATAGCCTGAAATCGATGCCTAAGCAGTTCTGAAATGTATGCACATGCACGCGGAGAGGAAGGGAAGTTTTGTATTGGTTCAAATCTGGAATAAATACAGGGCAACCCTTACTGAAAAATTCTTGTGTAATTGCAGAGAACAGGAATCAACTTCTTTCATGTGAAACATTCTGCAACTAACAATAACAACACAACAAAATTACATTTGTACAGCGCCTTTCACGTCAGGAGGACGTCCCATGACGCTGCAGGATAAAAATAATGATCTGTGCATTTGACATAGCACATAAGCACGAGCTCACAACATCTCAAAATGCTTTACAAAATCCACCTTAGACTATTTGTAAGCAAATGCGGCAGCCCATTCATGCACATCAGTGTCTGACATGAATGCCCAATTTTCTTGTTGGGAGTACAGTTCTAGGAGCAGAGGTCCTTTGATACCTTACAAGATGCCTCTTTCCATACATGAGCCAAAATGCTTTTGAAGGAGATATCATCAGTGTGTGTATATAAAAAAACAAGAGTACACAAATGAACTCCTTCCTCTTAAGAGTTTAGCAGATGGCGCAATGATCTGCTCAACACACAACAAAACCAGATTCAAGTATTAGAATTAGAGAAAATATATATTTCATATCTTTACAACAAATTGGAAGAGGAAACATAAAGAGCGGGAGTGCACACAATATACATCAGGGTTTTTTTTTCTCAGCTGCTAGTTCAAGAGTTCAGTCCTTTTGCTTCCTACCCTAGGAGCTACACAAATGGTTTCTAAAAAGAAATTGTGTAGAAACCATTTTATACAAAGTGTGCAAACGAGACAAATTTTGGAAACCTTCATAGAGGCAGTCCAGGACTCTATGTGTAAAATATATTAAATCAGAGGTCCCTTTTTTTCTCAACGACGAGTCTTTTTTCAAAATTATACAGTTTCTCAAATGTCCGCGATTGTCTCTCACATAAAGTGCAATTGTCCAGCAGAACAGAGCCAACGATGGCTCAGTTACAGCTCGTCATACAAACTCCAGTTTTCCATGCCCACTGTACATCCCCCAATGAACCAGAGAGAAACATTTGTCATTGCTGAGGTCCGAGTGCCGGATTTTATCGCACGTCATGCAGCAGTTTTCGTGGCCGGTCACAGGTACCATGCACTCCAAGTCCAGCTTAGCCACTTGTCCCTTTTTGGAGTGGTGGCCATGAAAGCTGTAGTGAAGACGCGAGAGCATCTGCCGCCGCTGGTCCTGAAGCCGCTTGTTTTCGCTGCGGAGCATTCGCAGGGCCAGCATTATCAGCAGCACCAAAATGAGCCCCCCAGCAATGGGCACTGCAATGACTGCAGCTCGAAACCACAGTTCTTTGGAGGAGGTGAGTTCTTGAACCCTGGTGATCAGGCTCCCGTGGGGGTCGTGATGGTATCGATTTCCCTGATCTACTGGTGGCGGGGAGGGGAGAAAACGGCAAGAATTAGAACACGTTAGACAATCCATTAATAATACAATATACAAATATAGTTTCGAATTTTACAGCGTCTTTCACTCAAAAAGGACTCAATCAACACTGATGTCTGTCTGGGCATCTCAAACTAGGGCGAGAGCTGAAGGGGTTGGAAAGAAAGTGGGTAATGCACACTGGAATGAATAACTTGCACATGCAGAGAGAAACAACACTTGAATCAAGGTGTACTCTCTCAAGAGCATCCAGAATTTGGCAAATTCTTGAATTCACTTTGAAGTCGGTGTTCTGCATTCTCAAAAGAAACTCACAGAAAACATGTGTTAAAATTGAGGCTCTATTAATAATTTGCCATATTTGGGATGTTCCAAAAGTGCTACATAGAGTAAATCTAGATCCAGGTAAATTTTCTCCCCTAAATGGAGGTAGCAGTTTGCTCACCAAGCAAACTGACTTATAACCAGTTATTTTCACACAAATGGCTGCGACCACATACACTAGGAGCAAGAAAAGAAAACTGAACGTTTCTGTAAAACTAGCTTAATCTCTGAAATATTATCATTTCTGCCTCATGTGGAACATGTACTTAGTTTTGAAGAGCAGTTGCAACAGCAAGGCAGGTTACAGATTCCAACATGAAACATTCAGGCGAAATTTCTTCTGCGCTAATCTGCTTTTCTGCCAGAGAAAGACACCAGAAGTAAGCGGCAAACGCCTTCTTAGTGGCCCTCCCAATGTCAGCAAGACACTCAATATCATGCTGGTAAGAGATTCAGCACAATTCCTACCACTGCCCCACTCCCTCCCCCTCTCTCCATCTCTAATTACGTTAACAACAAAATCAATACCAGACATACAAAGTCTTGGCTGCATTGGCCTGTAGATCAGACAGGGATACAGCAGAAAGCTTTTCCTACCTGAGGTCTCGCTCCGTGGAGGAGGGAGAACATCGTGCAAGCCTCGATAATTGCACATATCCTCATGACAGCACTGCAGCATTGGCCAGGTTCTTGAACGGTTCTGGGCCATCTTGGCGTGGCAGATATCAGCTGAATTTATAATAGTGTCCAAGCACCCGTGAGTTAAAGGCGAGTTGGTATTCTGAGGGTCCACCATTCTTGAGAAACATGCTGACAGCTCGCTTTTGCACATGTAACCGGTCGCCACACAGTTCGGCGCATCACAATAACATCTAATTTCACCTTAAGGTTGAAAAAAAAAGACATCAAAATTAGTGGGCTGCAATCACACAAAACACGACAAACCGTGCAACGTTCCAGTTAAAACGATTTACGTTGATTTGCACCCAAGTTACTGATGCGCACTTACAGTCAATTAAAATCAATTCATTTTAAGGCAAAGAACAGAAAAGCATAATGATGTTGTTTTTCCAGCCCTGGGGATCGTCAATGGTCAATGATGCCTGTAACATACTCGAACTGAATTCAACTATAGCAACACTTTGCATGTAGTAAACAATTTACTGTAACATGCTGAGAAAGCATCTCCTTAATAGGATGGGAATCGCAGTCAGTTAGCAAAAGCCCAAAGTGCTTTTCTGCTTTTATTTTTTTTAAAAAAAAGTTTTTAAAATCGTGTGCTGGTTTTAAGAGAATTTGCAAAATTTACAGGAAGGTTTGGGGGGTTTTTATTGTTCTGCTGCTCGGGGTCACTCTCTCTCTCTCTCTCGCTCCCTCTCTGCGGTGCGCATTTGAGCCGCAAAATACTATTACGTTTTTATTAGATGGAGAATCTGAACTTCAAAAACATGCTTCACCGACCGGGGTTTTATGTTTTGCATTTTTTTTCAAAGCATTTGAAAGGTTAGTTCACAGGGAAAGCTGAGGTGCACAGGTTTTCCGCTCTGCAAACTTGGGTTAAATTGGGTTATATTGCAAAAAAAGTAGGTTGGGGTCCCCTCCATAGACACACACACACACACAACATACATACACACACACAACATACATACACACACAGAGGAGCAGTTGAGACCATTTCGTGCGAAGACTTTCAGGCAGCACTGTAAAAAACAGGAGCCTTTGCAGCTTTATAATTAGCGGCTCGTTTGCCAAAGACAATTTCTTTCAACCCGAATGGAAACTCGTGTAAAAAAAAAAGGGGGTGAAACATCTTACGAGCAGAGCAGAGCAGTCTCGCTCTTGGCTTTGCCAAAACATGTGGCTGAAAAGGAGAGAGAGAGAGGGGGGGGGGGGGAGGAACTGATATTAGCAGATCTACGAGGACTCACTCTCTTGAGCTGCAAAGAGAAACCTTCACAAAACTTAACACAGTACAAAACAACAATCCGTATCAAAAAAAAACTTTTTTGTGCTTTGCTCTCTCTCTCACTCACTCACACACACACACACAGACGGTCCCCTCTCTCTCCCCCACCTCGCAATTCTCGCATTTGTCTTTAGATAATGCACATCGCTTTACTTTATATATATAGAGAGAGAGAATGTGATGCCATCGGCTGTTGGGAATCAGAGAGCGCTGTAAAAACAAACAGCAGTCAGTAGTCCTCTCTGTGCACAGGGTCGGGCTTTAAGACTGGAAGACTCGCCATATTTGTGTCTGAAAGCGATCTGATTTCAACCCCCTCCAGCTCAGCTTCCCCCTCCAGCTCCATCCCCCTCCAGCTCAGCTTCCCCCTCCAGCTCCATCCCCCTCCAGCTCCATCCCCTCCCAGCTCAGCTTCCCCCTCCAGCTCAGCTTCCCCCTCCAGCTCCATCCCCCTCCAGCTCAGCTTCCCCCTCCAGCTCAGCTTCCCCCTCCAGCTCAGCTTCCCCCTCCAGCTCCATCCCCCCTCCAGCTCCATCCCCCTCCAGCTCAGCTTCCCCCTCCAGCTCAATCCCCCTCCAGCTCAATCCCCCTCCAGCTCAGCTTCCCCCTCCAGCTCCATCCCCTCCCAGCTCAGCTTCCCCCTCCAGCTCAATCCCCCTCCAGCTCAGCTTCCCCCTCCAGCTCAATCCCCCTCCAGCTCAGCTTCCACCTTTTTTTAAGGCTAAAAGTCCCTGAACAGCAGCAACTCGTTGCTCCTAATGACTGAGATGAAGGATGGCCTTGTGTGAGGTGACTGGGACCCGGGGAGGTGGGGGGGAGGTGGGGTTCAGCCACGGTTTGCATTTGCAAAACCCTCTCCCGAAATCCAGTGTTAAAACACACAAAAAAATGCATAAAACCCAACATCCAGAGTACTTTTACAAACCTTGTGTATGTGTGTGTGGATATGTGTGTGTGCTTTTTAAATACAAACCCAAAAGGGTTTCATGTTTGCATTCAACAAGACTTTGGTTCGCGTTTATCCATTTGAGACCTTCTATTTGTTTTCTCAGCAAAAAAAAAGCAAATTGCATTTTTTTTGGAAAACGATCTGAAATGGCTTACAAGAAGAGGTTACCTTTTTTGTGTGTGTGTGTGTGTGTGGGGTGGGGGGGGGTCTGTGGGGTGAGGGGAGAAAACCTTTTGATGTCGACTGGCAGGAGAAGTCTGTGATCCCCTAATTATATCATTATCAGCCACATAGTTTCGGCATCGGTGACTTTACATCAGTCTGAATCACTCCCAGCTCTTTCCTTTGATGGGGCCAGAAAGCCCCAGCTGCTGACGACAGGGCCCTTATTTAGGTTAATTACACGTTTTCTACCAAAATAAATAAAGTAACACACAATTAGCTCATCTTAACCCCCAGCTCCCCATCACTTACAGACATACAGACCAGCACAGATCACTTCCAACACATCCAACATGATGGAAGTCCCCCCCCCCCCCCCCCGTCCCCTGGAAATCAACTTAACTTTCTTTTCCTCAACCCACACAACAAAATTGTGTTCCCATAATAATCGAAGTCCAGGTATAACTGCAAAAAAAATTCTCTTGCAAGACTGGTTCAGCAATAGCAGCAGCAGCTCAACACTTAAAGAGAATGGCGTTGTTAAGGTACATACCATTGTACAACAATGTACATTTTTATACACTTAATAACAACGCAATTCTCTTTGCTTCCCAGTCCAGTCTGAATGTCCGGGAAACCTGACGGCCTAAAGCATTCAGCTCTGCTGTGGCTTGAAAACCCGTAGAGCTTTTCAGTCTGACATTCATTTGTTTTTTTTTAAAAAAAATTTCAACCAAAAAGAGAAGGCTGTGCATTGTGTCCAATCGCGAAAAAAATACCAAGTCGACGTTATTATTAATAACAGTAACGTTGAAATAAAGATGACACCAGAAAACCTCCCCCTTTAACATCCCAACAGTTCATTAAAGACTGCAAAAGAAAACATTTTGACAACCGATTGCCCTTAAGGTCCGAGTTACATCAAAAGAGCGCACGGAGTTGGCAGCAGAACCGAGAGATTTACACTAATGGAGATCAGGTTTTGCGTGAAATAAATCGCAACTCAGAAAAGAAGCCCAAAGGGTATGTATGACAGGATCGCCGCCGCCAGATGCTCTCCCCCCCCCCCCAGTCCCCCCCCAGTCCCCACCAGTCCAACAACTCGCTGCACTGTTTGCGAGAGAGAGCCTTTGGTTTTAAAGCAAACAGCTCCGGAGCAATGCTGCAAAAAAAATACTACTTGTGCTGCCCATAGGATCTCTCTCTCTCTCTGTGAGTAAGTGCATATATATATATATAGGGTATATATACGCACACACACACATATATATATACACACACACACACAGACACCAGTCCCAGGGCTAACTCAGTAGCCAGTCTCTCTCTCTCCTCTCCATCCCCCCCGCGGCTGCTCACCTTTACTCAGGAGGATGGCCATCGCGCACAATTCCAGCTGCAGCCAAATGGAGATAAAATTCGGGTAGCGATCCATTTAAGTATGTGTGTGTGTGTGTGTGTGTGTGCGTGTGTGGAGAGAGAGAGGAGGAGGAGGGAGAGGGAAGCAAAGGAAGAGAAAATAATTTTTGCTTTTTTTAAAAAAAGCAAAAGAGTAATAAGTTGTTTGGGACGGGATCGCTGGTGTGTCGGTGTCGGTGTCTCTGCGTCTCTCTGTCTGTGTCTCTCTCTGTCTGTGTGTGTCTCTGTGTGTGTTTGTGTGTCTCTCTGTCTGTGTGTGTTTGTGTGTCTGTCTGTGTGTGTGTCTGTCTGTGTGTCTCTCTGTGTGTGTGTGTGTGTGTCTCTCTCTGTCTGTGTGTGTTTGTGTGTCTCTCTGTCTGTGTGTCTCTGTCTGTCTGTGTGTCTGTCTGTGTCTCTCTCACTCCCTTGTGTGTGTGGAGTTGGTTTTGCTGAGGACCTGAGCTCTGTTCTCTCTCTCTGCGTCTCTCTCTCACTGTTGGGACACTGTTGCCTCCCTCGGTCGCTGCTCTCTCTCTCTCCCTCTCTCCTTCCTTCCTTCACTCACATCACCAGCCCCAGGAAGAAAGAAAGTCAGAGACTCCCCCCCCCCCCACCCCCCCACCACTGAAACTCTCCCCTCACACAGAACAGAGTCAGAGACAGAGAGAGACACACAGAGAGAGACAGAGACACACACAGAGAGACACACAGAGAGAGACAGACCCAGAGACACAGACAGACACAGAGGGAGACAGACACACAGGGAGTCCAGCAAACACTGCCCCGGGAGAGCAGCGCTCGGTGCCTGTGACCGGGAGGAGCTGCTGAGCAGCCGCGGTGCCGGTGACTGCGCTGCTCTCTCTCTCTCTGTCTCTCTCTCCGCGCGGCGGCGGCGGCTGCTGCTCACTCGCTTTGATTGACAGCCCCGTCCAGCCACCCGCCCCGCCCCCCCTCGAGTGACAGCCCCCGGCGGATCGGCCGACCAATCAGAACGGCCGGTCTCCAGCCTCGCCCCGCCCCCCGCCGCCTCCGATTGGTTCCGCCGCGGCTGTGGGTGGGAGAGGCAGAGACCGCCCTTGATTGACAGCCCGGCCCTTCGCCCCGCCCCCTACCCCCCCCGCAGCGCTCCAGTGATTGGCAGCCGGTGATTGGGCTGCTCTGCTGTCAATCACACCCCCCGCCCCGCCCCCCGATGGAGATATATTTATATGTTTATATATATTTATATACAGTGAGTGAAACAATCCATTCTGCCTATGAATCTGGCAGTCTCTTGGTGTGGCCCAAAGTTTGCACGGTCCGCGCTTTATCTGCTTCGACGGCCCCTTATTTTGTTTTTATTTCTTGTTTATTTTATTTTTACTTCTTATTTACTTTATTCAATTTATTTTTAGCGTTTTTATTTCCACGGTCTCGCTCCGAGACCTCCTCACCCCCTCTGCCACCCCGTCCGCTCCCTCCGCTCAACGGGCTCCGGCCTGTTTCACGTTCCCCCCCCACCCTCCCCGCCCCGCCTCGCCCGACCCACTATCGGCGGGCGGGTCTTCAGCCGCTCTGCCCCCACCCTCTGGAACTCCATCCCGCAGTCCCTCCCTTCTCGCCCCCTCTCTCACCCCCTTCAAGACCCACCTCAAGGCTCTTCTCTTCGAGCGTGCTTTCGATCTCCCTGCTTCCCCGCCCCAACACCACCACCCGGACCCCCAGGTCGGGTCCGCTATACAGATGTAATTTTGTTGTTGGTTATTGTTGTTGTTGACCTTCCCCCAATAAAAGATAATACGGTTCAAGATCCAGGGTTTCCCTTTTACTGTACGTTCCGCGAAGTGCTTCGAGATGTCTCGAAGGCGCGATAAGGCGCTCGCCACGTCAAACGCCAAGGGTTATTGTTAATTATTCATTGACTTTTGTTTTACTGTGTTGTGCTTGTGATCTAATAAAATAGTAATAATAATAATAATCCTTGCATTTGATCCAGCGCCTTATCACGTCTTCGAGACGTCTCAAAGCACTTCACGGAATATACCGTAAAGTGAATTGACTGTGTGTTTTGTGGATGGATGTCTGGAAGCACTTTGGTATTGGCTACAAAAAANTGGTAGCTTCCAGATTTTTAAAAAAAATAGAAATACATGGTTTGATTTTTTTGGGATGACAGATGATTCATTCGATTGAGTGACATTTTAAACCCAGGTGAGCAATGATAATACGTGATTATTGGAACATCAGGCGAGGAAAAAAATTACTTTTTAAAAGCAACCATTCGAATAAGTTTCCAAATACAGCCTAAGCTAAAAGTTGAGGGGTTTAGCTTGTGTTTGACCCACACCGTCTGCACAGTTATGATTTATTACCCCGAAACACAACAATAATAATATTGCGGGAAGTTTCCCTTTACCAACGATATTCATGTCACCCCTCATTCCACATCTCTCGAGCTAATGGCTTTGTGCTTTTGTGTGTGTGTGTGTGTTTTTGCAAAGAAAATAACTCTTTTTAATGTTGCAATAGTATCCCCCCCCCACACACACATATACACACACATATACACACACACACACATATACACACACACATACATACACATATACACACACACACACACATATACACACACATATACACACACACATATACACACACACATACATACACATATACACACACACACATATACACACACACATACATACACATATATACACACACACATACATACACACACATATACACACACACATATACACACACACATATACACACACATACACACACACACATATACACACACACACATATACACACACACATACATACACATATACACACACACACACACATACACACACACACATATACACACACACACCCACTCCAGTGGAAGCTGATTCAGGAGAAAGTGCTTTTGATGATGTTCGTAGAAACTGTCATCGACAATGTTTTTAATACCGTTTGAGAGAGAGAGAGAGAGAGAGGAGAAGAGAAGGGAAGAAAGAAGGGAAGAGAGAGAAGGGAATAAAAATAGGGGTAAAAGGGAGTAGGAATGGAATGAGGCGCAAAACATTCCCGAGAGAGAGCAGCGATTTCCTTTGTACTGTAGAGGAGGAGAGGGATGGATACACACAGGGAACTGCTGCGGATTTGGGGAGAGAGAGAGAGAGAGAGAGAGAGTGTGAGGAGGGGTTTGCAGACAGTTAAGTGAAATTAGCAAAAAAAAACCCACACCCCCCACACACACAAAAACACACCCGGCGCCACCGAGACTACACCCACAGCAACTGACAGTCAATTATCAGAGCCCCCAAACAATAACCCGCAAACACCGCGCCCTGTGATCACTATCTCTCCCACTGCACTGCACTGTTGTCAGTGATGTGCTAATGGCTGTGCGGCCGCTCAGTGTCCTGAGCACATCAAAGCCGATGCCCGACTCCCGGCGATAACCCGCGTGCGGTGGGATCTCTGCTGTGCGATGAGACAATGCCGAGAAAAGCGCATTCACCGCCGAAAGCAAATCATTTACCACTTTACAAGCGAAAAAAAAATACCCCCCCGACCCCCCCCGACCCCCCCCCACCCATCAGATCGGTCATTAAAGGTGCAAAATTGACCCAGCAAATGCCATCCTATTACCACCACATGCAACATGACCCCCCACCCCCCCCCACCCCCCCCCACTCGAGCCATACACCAGTAATGATCTATTATTTTGTCTGACAGTCAGGAGTCAAATTATATTTAGAAACAGCAAAAAAAAAACACTGGACTCAAAATACTCTTTGCCCTGACACCTGGTTTGGATTTTACATCTCTTGCCCCCCACCCCCCCACCCCCCACCCCACCACCTTGAGTTAGCAATCGGTTCGCCAATACCTGTTACCTGCTTTGATCCCCACGAAACACAGAATCGGTTTCCGCATAAAATTTGGAGTATTTCAACTCCTTCCAAAAAGTGGACCAGCATGATATCTTTTTAGCGTTCTCTACTGTGGAAAACTGTAATAACAAGCATTTTGTAAGGTTACAGTGCAATGGTTAAGCAATCACAAATAGCAAAACCATCTGCAGAACCGGTCACCGTACTTGACAATGTTTATGTTTGAGGACTTTGAGACATGTTGAACTCATAAGGTGTTGTAAAAATGTAAGTTCTTTCGAGTAAGACTGACCGCCACCCCTGGCACATCATCGTGAGTAAGATTCTGATCCATACTCATCTTTGACACTTCCTTACTTTGTATGAAATTGTTAAATTATATTTAGAAATAGTAAAGGTATTCGACATTAGGCTATATCAAATTATTTTATTAGAGCAAAGTGAGATATACTGTAATATAAACTCCATTAGAATGTACTGTAGAATGCACTGTTTATTTTCAAAGGAGAAACAGCTAACACAGTCTAATCTGACACTCCGGTGCTTGGGGAATGGGGCTTTTCCAGAAGGTCCTTTGGATGACATGTTAAACCATCTGCCTGTTCAGGGGGACATTAAGGATCCCATGGCACTGTTCAAAAAGAGAAGGGAGTTTCTCCCGGTGTCCTGGACAATGATCCGGGGGTTTATTGTTAGACAGTCACTTCAGTGCTGTTTGTTGGACGCAAATTGGCTCCATATTCACCTACAAATACATAGTCATTATAGTTCTCCAGTAAAATGCTTTGGGACATTTTGATGACATACGAAGGGGCTACATTAAATGCAAGGATTATTATTATTGTAAAATTGTCTATTTTTAGTTTTCTGTCCTCCCATTCTGAACTCATGTTGGGATATAGTTCCATCTACTTACAGAACCTTCCCTAAGTTATCGCTCTTCATGCTTGAGCCTACTAGATGGTGAGTGTTGCACGTTGTTGGACTGTGTGAAGCATCAGGATCAAGTGTGATTTATGTCTCACCAGCCATCTACACAGCCACACTTTTCAGCAAAAAACACTGGATGTCATCACTTTGTCTCAGCTGGTTGTCTCGGTGGGTCAAAGGTTGTGGGTTCAAGCCCCACGTCTGGACTTGAGTTCAACAT